TGTTTGATTAAAAGCGTTGTATGAAAAATGCTATGCTAAAGAGCTCAAACCACACCGAGCATCCGCCATTTTGAGAACCGAAGAGAGAAAGCCCATGTCATGTCAAGGGGCCTCCCTCCCATTTTTCTTAAAGAGACACGCTACTGCTCCCTCACTATCCATCTTTCGGTTCAAACTAGGGTTGGACGATATAGCCAAAACTTTTATCACGATATATTTCTTAATTTCGTTCGATAACGATATATTTCGATATCGATATAAACAATATAAAAGCCTAAAAAAAACTGAACAAATAATTTAACGTTCACCTTTTATTTGTACAGGTATTTAGCCTTCAAAAAAGTTTGAAATCACTGTCAAATAAACATAAAACTCATTACTTTGTCAATATTAATAGTTTTACCTTTAAAGAACAACATAAGCTAACAATCCATGCAGCAAACATCTGCATTTGCTGCATGGATTTCTCTTTTGATACAGCTGGGGTTGTTGTTTCAGGGACACATTGGCTCAAACTTTTATTGTGCTTCATCTTCTGACTCTCAACATATTCTATCGAGTGGAAACTCTTCAGCTGAAACAACTTAGATGTGTTCCCACCGCTAGTTGGAACGACTCTCCGTCACATTTTGCAGCACACTGAAACCTGCAGTTTATCGGATCTTAGAAAGCCAAACCCCTTCCACACCGCCAAATTAGTCTTTCCTCTCTTATCAATTATGTCATCTGCTTTCTCTTCGCTTGTGAAAGCTTGTTCAGTCACATTCTGACGGTCATGGGCACTCATTTTGAACTGAAAGCACGTGCTGGAGATTAGCCTAGCCTGCTACCGCTAATGCCTTCTGGACTCAAGCTCTGCATAACATCTACGTCACCACGCACTTAGGTAGTTGTGTCACACCTTTTTCTTTCTGGGTTGAAACTGGAGCGACCAAGTCAACCCGAACAGAAAAAGAAATGCATCAGTGAAACACTGTAATCATATCAAAATTTAGAAAATGTGCTTAAAACTCATATCACCGTTATTGAATAAAAGTATATTGCGACATATATCGATATTCAATTATCGTCCGGTCCTAGTTCAAACAATCTCATTCTGCCATCTGGTGGTCAAACAAAGGTACTACATGCAAAACATCCATCCATCCATCCATCCATTTTCTTTACCCGCTTATTCCATTTTGGGTCACGGGGGTCGCTGGTGCCCATGTCCAGCAATCACTGTGCGAGGGGCGGGGTACACCCTGGACGGGTCGCAAGTCCATCACAGGGCCACATAGAGACAAACGAGACAAACAATCACTCACTCTCTCACTCACACCTAGGGACAATTTAGAGTTACCAATCAGCCTAACATGCATGTTTTTGGACTGTGGGAGGAAACCGGAGTACCCGGAGAAAACCCACGCATGCACGGAGAGAACATGCAAACTCCACCCAGAAAGGCCCCTGGACCGGGGTTTGAACCAAGGACCTGCTCGCTGAGAGGCAGCAGCTCTACCAGTTGTGCCACCGTGCTGCCCACATGCAAAACAAATAGACATTTATTCTTAAATTTTACAATAATTACTAATTATTGTCAAATTTCAAACAATATTATTGCTTATCGCAATAATTTCTGAGACAATTAACCACCCAGCAAAATTTGTTATTGTGACAGGCCTATTTGAGACTTCTCCATCCCCTGAAATATCCACTCCTTCCACCGTGTTTTATACTTCCTATTTTTCTGTATTTGCAGACTGATCTTTCACCTCTTTGTAAGCTGCAGTCTATGGTTGTTAAGCCGTGACCGCCTCTTAATCACAACACAGATACCTGTTAATTACCAAATGAGTTCAAGTATTTTTGCTACTTAAACAGGGATTTGGGATCAATGCATTGCTTTGCTGTGGGTTGAGCAGTGAGTGCAGTTGACCATTAAATTAAACATTTTACATTCTGTGTGTAGGGGATGAAGAACTCGCAGGATAAAGACGTTGGTTGATCATTAGGCTGCTGCATGGATGACACAAATTGGTGGTGGGTCATGGATAAAGCATGAACTTGTAAACTCACAGAGGGGCCTCTCCTTCCTCCCTCCTTCTCACTAACTCACTCATGCCCTTCGCGGTGTCATCAGTTAGCAAATCTGGGCTCGATAGCTCCGGCAGCTCTTCGAGAGCAGCGATTAGCCATCTCTCTGATTCTCATCCCCAGCAGAGTTCATTCAAAGGTAATACAGTGGTTTTCCATCCTCAGAGACTCTGACTTCACCCCTTCTTTTGTTCTCAGCTCTCTTCTTTTTTTAGCAAATCCTGCACTCGTTTACCTATTTAAAATGTACTTTTGGCATCAAGTCTTTTAATAAAACAACCATACATGCATCTATTTCTGCTGTTTTGAATGATTAGGAATGAGTGTAAAGTTCTTGTGTCCTTGAAGAGAGAATCCTCCTCCTCCTCTTTACCTCGGTCTAGTTGTGAGTCACAGACTCCCAGTCAAGTGCAGGGTTTATTCCAGCCGCCTGCGTCTGAGGTGTGGTCTTTTAGTGGGCCGTTTTGCTGTGATCACAGCAGGAAGTGGGAGGTTAATCTCAAGAGGATGCAGGCTCAATCTCCCTCCGCCTCCAGCTTTTACCCAGGACTCTCACATCCCCTGCTGCATAACTTCTGTGCCGGTTACCTACCCACATTTAACTTCTGCTTTACTTAATATGACATTTAGCCATTCAAAGCACACAGTGTTGCTGACCTTTAAACTTTTAACAATTTAAATGAAATATGTGAAGAGGGTGACACTGGAAATACTTTGTGTCCTTTGAACCATATAAAATCCTTATGATAGTTCCACTGTAAGCATCTATTTTAAGTGATCTAAGCTCAAATCTTAGGTCTTTTCAATAGTGCTGGTGATTAACACCAGAAAGGAGTTCCAATTTTTTCTGGAAAACATTTCCTTCCAAGACTGATCTATGAGAACTAGCGCTGTTAAAACGTGTCTCGATATACATTTAGTTTGTTAAAGCCCTGATAAATTATTTCAGATGGCAAAGTATGCATCTGTTTTTCCCTAGAGTCTTTCACACATATCTGTGTGTAATTAATGTGGATTTTGACAGATGGAGGGAAAAAAATGTCCTCGTAAGAGAGAAGGAAGGGTACATGCCACAATGTGTGAAGTGCAGGCTTGATGGGAGCTTCTTGTATTATTTGCTGTCCATGCCAGCTGGACTATAGCGGGAAATGTTACAGGTAGAAATGCAAGCTTTAAATACATGCAGAAATCAGTGAAATGAAGTGCCCGCCATAAATAGGCATGAGTTGTTCTCGTTACTGATGGAAATTAACGTCAAATGTTCTTAATGTTGTTCTAAATTTAGTTTTAGAGGTTTTAAACCTGTCCCGCACTGTGCATCTTCATCCATGGTAACTTTCTTGAAATATTCAATCAAGTGCAATTTCCTTCAATAGTAGTTGTGACCGGAGGTCATTTTTAATTTGAAAGCTTAAATTGCCTTTTAGGCTTGATGTGTGTGTGTGCGCGCTGTTGTTTGAAACCATGTTATTTCTGAATGTATCAGGGTCTTACTTAGATATTAGTATAACTACATTATCACACTTTTTCTGTGCCTGGTAGCAAACATGTACAAATGAGGATTACAACTCTGGAGAAGGCAACAGGTCATGGTTGGTAAGCTGCCCAGAGGGGGTCACTGATATAGAGTCACTTTTGACAGGCTGTGGAGGAGGCTCTATTGTTACTGGTGTGTCTGGATGTTACCTGCAGGCACTATCACCGAGACTACAGTATTATCCTATTATTAGGCTTAGTTCTTTACGCATATTACTGCTTGTCAGGTAGGCAGAGAATCCTTCTGAAAATGAGCATCTGCAGAAAAATACATGACTACTTCTTTATCTCATTCAAGTACATCGGCTTAGGATAATTTTCTGAGGCCTGTAAGAATGTCTTCATAGGACAGAACAAACAGAAATTCAAGGTTTATGTTTACACTGAAGCATTTGATCCTTTGAAAATGTTTTACCGCACCGCCAACAGTGTTGTTTGGCAGCCGGTGTTAGAACATAAGAAACGCTGCATCTGTTTTTTTATGTTTTAAGGCTGATATCATTATGGTCTTCAACTGAAAGTGCATATACTGTAGAAGGACATTGTGTCTATGTTTGTAGAGGAAGTGAACAAAATAAAAAAAAGCCCATCATATGGTCTGGCAGATTTTGGGCACCAGACCAGGGATGACAAATGTGCTCTTGCAATAATTCAATCTGCTCTCATAATTCTCTAACTTTTAGGGACCGACAGAATGAAGATTTTTTTTTTTTTCCGGCAATTAAGCCGCCAAGTCTTGGTCCAATAACTGTGATCAAGTGTTAGTTAAGATGCTTTTTCTCTCCATTGACAGATTGAGGGGTATAAAGATACTTGGTAAGTGGCAGAAAGTTACAGTGAATATGTTAATGAGACGATTTGGTCTCGCATCCAAAACGTTGTCATTTTGTTTATGTCACAGTAAGGATATTAAGTTTAAGGAACACCAGAAGGGACAGGGACTTGTTTGAGGAGAGAATGAGTTTGTGATTATCACAGTTACAGTTTATGTTCTCCTGTGAGTTTATTTCTTCGTTTTCTTTTCACATTTTCGTTTTGACAGATGAATTTAGATTGTTATGGTCACATTGAGATAAAGAACAGGAAGATTCCAGGCTAACTTTATGTGCTAATCGTATTGGGCTGGCAACTATTCAACACCTTGAATTCTGAATTGTATAAATACACTGAAATCTAATCATAGCATCAAAACTTAAACCTAAAAAGTAACATAATTGAGATGAAATGGCAACATGATGAACACAAGCTTTTACTTAATAGTAAAATGGATCCGATTGTAATGGATTTATAACTACATTTGGACTAACTAACACGTGTCTGTGAGTCTGTAAACCTATGGGTTTGAGTTAAATGTTACAATAAATTAATCTCTTCATGTTTGCATGCAGGAAAAGAAATATGTCCTGATGATGGTTGACCCGGATGCCCCCAGCCGCACCAAAAGCTCAGGTTACTTCAGACACTGGTTGGTTGTGGACATAAAGGTACAGTAAATCTCACAAATTCTGCTCTCAGTTTGAGAAAAACCTGTGTTTTGATGATGGCAGTAACAGGTAGCTGTGCTTTTTATTGGATTAGAAAGTCTTACAGTATGGTAGAAATTTATGAAGTAATGTTCGGTTTATGCTGTTTTTTTTTTTTTTAAAGTGCATTTTCATAATCTCATGGTCTCACTTGGCATGTTCCGTGTTTACATCTGCACTAAGGCCGATGGTAAAGCTGAAAAATTATGTTTGGTTTTTAAGCCTAACTTGGTTACGAGAACGATGCCAAGTTTGAAAATGTTAATTTTTCATATCATGTATCTTGTGCAATAAATGCCTGTGACAAAAGTGTGGGAGTAAGTCTTTCTAAATGGCTGTGAAAGTTTGCAAGGCCCTGTCAGCAGCAATTTCCCTCTGCTGCAGAGAGCCTGGGACGTGTCAATGCAAGTGTGTGAGACTGAGATTGAGGAGAGCAGCATGCGAGGCGCACACTTTTCCTCCCATAGTGCTCCAGTCCCTCAGCTCCCCCTTCAGTGGAGAGATCTTGGCAGAGTGTCCTCCCTTCATCTGTTCCCCCAGGCAGAGCAGCTCCCCCAATGATCCACACTTCTCCATATTTTACACCCCCGAAATGGGCACCGCTCCGATCCCCTTATTTCTCTTCATATTTCACTCCTTTTCATCCATTCGCTTGTGTGTTTTCACATTCTTGCATTCTAAACGCCAAATGCATGTTGAGTCGTTGATTGCCTCAAATATTTTGAGGTTTGCAGACATTTTATAATCCCTCGAGGACTGGGAGATCAACCCAGTAGATTAAAACTAGTGGATCAAAAAAAACACAAGCGCACAAAGCTGCTTCAGAGATGTTGTACTGCGTCCCTTCTGGTTTTTTTAGACATGGTTTGACACACAGCAACTTCGCATTGATTCAAAGACCCAAACGTGCAAAAGATTTTAGTTTTATAACTCACAGTAGGTGTAAATTCAACATTTTGTGAAATATTTTTTAGAGAATTTGTCTTCAAGAAAATATTTGCTCAACGACAGTTCTGCATTGTGTCAAGTATCATTTAATTTTTACCTGAAATCAGGGACGCACAACTGAAATAAAGAAAAATAGTCATTTCAACCTCATGAAAAAGCACAAGACATAACCTTTACGTCTTGTTTTTCAGTCTGTAAAGACAATCTGTCTGCATGACCAGTTGTGAATAAACAAATATTTTTCCATCGTTCAGACAGACCACATTCTCTTTAGCAATTCAATTTCCTGTCACTTGTGTGGGTGTTGACCTGCGCTGCTCATGTGGGATTGGCCAATGTGACGGGATGTTTTTCTGATTGTAGCTGGTGGTTGGTCAGAAGGGTTAATGAGCCTTTTGAGTGATGCCAACTGTAGTGGGAGGTGTTTAATTGACCAGGGTGGAGAGGTGACACCATACAACCTTAGTTTTTGTTTGAAGTGTCAATCTGAATGTATTGGCTTTTGTTTCATACTGTGGTTTTAAACAGCTGTACGGGTCAGTTTGTGAATGAATGCATGCATACATGCACTAAAGTAGCTATAATAAAAAAAATAATGATTTCTTTCTTGTTTAAAAAAAGGTAAAGTGTATGTTTGGCATTGTTATCTCTGCTATTATGAGTTCTGGGTTTATACTTGTAAATGTCAAGTAGATAACATATCTGTAATCCATTGGAAAAAGTCATGTAATCCACAACGGTAAATCCACAACGAATGGAAGTGTTGAATGATCAGCATACAGAGGGGTTCCCTTGGATTGAACTGAAGATGCGGCCACTGGATGAAGAGTGGAGACCAACGTCAGGATTGCAGGTCTCCTCCAGCGAAGGTCGTCTCTGGGCGACGTATACAATAACAATAACAGTGAAATGTCGGCCACATTATCTACCCCGAGAGTTCACAGTGACTTTTATCACAGTTGTTTACATTCCTCCGGACGCTAATGCTAATGAATCACTACAGGAGCTTCATGATATCATCAGCTCGCTGCAGAGCAAACACCCCGAGGCTCTCTACGTGGTAGCCGGAGACTTTAACCACGTGAATCTAAAGGACTGTCTCCCAAGCTTTAATCAGCATGTGACGATTCCGACACGTGGAGACCGCACGCTGGACCGTGTTTACACGAACGTAAAAGATGCATACAAAGCCGAACCCCGCCCCCACCTAGGACTGTCAGACCACATCTCAATCTTCCTGGCTCCTGCTTACATGCCCCCGCTGAGACGCTCCAGACCGGTTCAAAAGAAAGTTAAATGCTGGATCCAGGACAGTGGACCCATACTGAGAGATTGTTTTGACCGAACAGACTGGCAGGTTTTCAGAGAAGCTGCTGAAAATGGAGGTTCGCTTGATCTTGACCAATACACATCCTCAGTACTGGGTTACATTAGTACATGTACTGACACAGTCTCCACTAACAGAAATGTTAAAAGCTACCCAAACAGAAAACCTTGGCTGAATGCAGAGGTGCGTACCCTGCTGGAAGCCAGGAACACTGCCTTCAGGTCTGGAAACTCAGAGGAGCTGAGTAGGACAAGAAAAGAGCTGGTTGCTGGTATTAAGAGGGCCAAGGCCACATATGCAAAGAGGATCGAGGGTCAATTCATCTCACAAGACCCTCGGAGCATGTGGAGGGGCATTAAGTGCATAACAGATTATAAAGGAAGGAGTGAACAATGTCCCAAAGACCCATCTCTGCCTGATGCCCTCAACAAGTTCTATGCACGCTTTGAAGACCCGAACAGACCACCCAGCACCAAACTCACCTCGCCACCGGATGAAGAGCATCTCAGCGTGACCTCAGCAGAAGTAAGGAGTACCTTCAGGAGGATTAATCCGCACAAAGCAACTGGCCCAGACAACATCCCCGGAAAAGTGTTGAAGGAATGTGCTGATCAGCTCTGTGAGGTGCTGGCAGACATCTTTAACACCTCACTTACCCTGGAGACAGTTCCCACCTGCCTGAAGACTACCACCATCATCCCAGTCCCAAAAAGCTCTACAGTGACTGGTCTGAATGACTATCGGCCAGTGGCCCTCACCCCGATAGTCGCTAAATGCTTAGAAAAACTGGTCATGACTCACATCAAAACAACCATCAACATCAACGAGGACCCTCATCAGTACGCATACCGTGAGAACCGATCAACAGAGGATGCAATCTCCTCTGTGGTCCACACTGCACTCAACCACCTGGAGCAGAAAAACTCTTACGTCCGTATGCTCTTTGTGGACTTCACATCCGCCTTCAACACCATGATCCCCCAAACCCTGATGGACAAACTATCCACACTAGGACTAAGCCCCTCCATCTGCAACTGGGTACTAGACTTTTTAACAAACAGACCACAGTTAGTGAGGATCCACAACCTCTCCTCCTCCACCATAACCCTCAGCACTGGCTCTCCTCAGGGATGTGTGTTGAGCCCCCTCCTGTTTACTCTGCTCACATATGATTGTGCAGCTACCCATCCAGGCTGTCACATTGTAAAGTTTGCAGATGATACAGCGGTGGTGGGATGCATCACAAACAATGATGAGTCCAGCTACAGGCAGGAGGTGGAACACCTGGAGAGCTGGTGCAGAGAGAATAACCTTCACATCAATGTGAAGAAGACAAAGGAGATGATTGTGGACTTCAGAAGGAACAAAAACACCTACACCCCCCTGAACATAAGAGGATCTGCGGTGGAAGTGGTCTCCAGCTACAAGTACTTGGGTGTACACATGAATGACAACCTCAGCTGGAGCAACAACACCACCAGCCTGATCAAGAAAGCTCATCAGAGACTCTACTTCCTCAGACGGCTGAGGCGAGCTGGTCTGGGAAGCTCAGTCCTCACCTCCTTCTACAGGTGTGCAGTGGAGAGCATCCTGTGCTCGAGCATCAATGTGTGGCATGGAGGCTGCACAGCTGCAGAAAGAAAAGCTTTGCAGAGAGTGGTGAAGGCTGCACAGAAATCTGTCAGAATCAGTCTCCCCACCATCACAGACATCTACACCTCCAGATGCAGGAAGAGGGCCACCTGCATCATGAAGGACCCCACCCACCCAGCACACACACTTTTTGCCCCACTCCCCTCAGGAAGGAGGTTAAGGAGCATTAAGTGTAGAACCACTAGACTGAGGAACAGCTTCTACCCTGAGGCTGTTAGACTCATGAATCTCTAACTAGAATAATCACTGTGAAAAACCATATCATGTTGCTGCTGATCTGTTTCATGTTGCTGCTGATCTGTTTCAATGTTGATGTGTTCATGCGTGCACATCTGCTCACAGACTCATGTTCATGTTTGTGGTGATGTTCAATGTTTTATGTTATGAGTGCTTAGTGTATATTTAGTTGATGTTTTTCTTAGTTCATATCTTAGATGTTATTACTGTTTTTCTTATACATTTTATTGTTGGATGTAACTGGGACCCTGCGTACATAATTTCGCTCCACCACATGTACCACATGAGGTGCGAATGACAATAAAGAAACTCTGACTCTCTGACTCTCTGACTAGATGTTTAGATGTTTATTAGTCAAACAGTGTGAGCTGCAGAAGCCATTTTCTTTTCATATATATTCATCAGTGCAGGGTCACACAACCTTGCCCTGGTTTGCAGAGGTTTCCATAATTGCTGTGTATTCTTTATCCATATCCAGAGTTATGAAGATAAAGATTTCCATAATTTAGCCGAGAGCGAGGTGAGGTCAGGCTGGACTGAGCAGCGAGCCTCGGCAGAAACGAGCTGATTCTGCTGTTAGGGTCTCATTAGAGAAACAGCATTAAAACAACACTGGAGCGCCCCGTGTGTTGATGCATCACTCACTTCTGCACTGAGTTCAACTGAACACATGGCTCTCCGTTTAACAAAACATGTGCCGAGGATCTCCTCGTTTGATGTCGATGGTGCCAGAATCCTGTGGAGAGAGGTATTTGTGAACATGTAGTCGTTGCCTGGTCCTATTCTGTCTCGCACA